ATGAAAGCTTAAATGCCTGTGAGATCTCTTGGCATACACAAAAGAAACAGATGTTTCAACTTTGATACCAAGCAAACTTGAAAAGAAAACCATACATTTAAGGAGGCTAAACCGTGGAGGAAATTATGAACTAGGCCCATCTTTCTGGAAGCTCTAGAATTTAAAATGCTACTGTTAAAGTACAATTTTTAAAGTGAAAAGTATAAGCCGTTTTTCTAATTATAAGGTTTTCAGATTCTGCATTATATGTAAATATGCATGAAAGCCTGGTGTAACTTAGCTTCAAGTTCTTAAAATCTTAGAACTACATCCATTGGAAGGAGCTGAAATTTAGTAACTCCTGGTCTTGTGTTTTCCCACCACTTGATGCCTTCCTGAGCAATTTGTGCTGAATACTTCTGTACCAAGACCAGCCTCAAATAGGACAAATATTTATGTAGTATGTTATCAGGTCACCTTGAAATACCTCTGGCATCTGTGAAGCTCTCATGCCTGCGACTCCCACCATAATTAGTACGCAGAGGTGAACTTTGTATGTTGCATCACAATGTAGAGGAACGCAGCCAGTATCCACTATAATTAAAATTAAAAACAATTACATGAGCCATCCAGAAGAGCTACAGTTCAATAATTATTTCTGTACAAACAAAGATTACATTCACTATCATGGCCAACCAACGATAACAAAATTTTAAAATGAGGATACAATTTGAATATATATTTATCTGAAGAGATATATAAATAATCAATAAAGAAATGAACAATGTTCAGCATCCATTCCCATCAGAGAAATCAAATTCACTGACTTACTACTTTTGGCTCATTAGCATGATTGTAATAAAAATCAGATAATAAAAACTTCCAAGAATACAGTGAAATCCAGAGCACTTATGCAAAAATACACTAAGAACCATTGAATTGAATAATTAAAATATTTTTTTCCAAATTGATAGAGCCTTTATGGGAAAAATTATTTCAAAGCAAATTTTACTTATAAGAGAAAAGCTACTGTTAAACATGTATCTGTTTTTAGACTCTGTAGCATTTATTGACTTACCTAGTCAGTCATTTAACACACTGACTAGCACAAGTGCTCAAATATTTTTCATCTACTTCCTTAATTCTCCTTAAATATTTTAGTTGGTGCTTGTATTAGTTACTTTTCTATGGCTGTGATAAAACACCATAACCAAGGCATCTTATCGAAGGAAGAGTTGATTGGCTTATGGTTCCAGAGAGAGAAGAGTCCATCCTGGTGGACAAGCATGGCAAGGGGCAGCTAGAGCAGAACACTGAGCACTCACATTTTCAAGCTGGCACAGGAAGCAGAGAGAGAAACTGGAAGTGAGAGGGCAGCTTGTGAAGCCCGCCCCCAGTGACATGCTTCCTCCAGCAGGCCACACCTCCTAAAGGGTCCATGACTATCTAAACAGTGCCACAAAGTGGGAACCCAGTGTTCAATTACTTGAGCCTATGGGGGACATTCTCATTCAAACCACCACAGTACCTGTTGCACTTGATATGTTGAACAGACTAAGATTAAATAGGTTGTTGTTATGGTTACTTTTATGGCCTTGATATTTGATACTTTCTTCATTTTGAAATTATATTGTTTCTCTTCTCTCTCTCTCTCTCTCTCTCTCTCTCTCTCTCTCTCTCTCCCTTGTATATATGTGTGTAGGCCCATAGGCATACATGTACTCACACATGTGGGGGCCGGAGTTGTTATCAGGTACCTTCCTTACTTGCTCTCCACTTTATTTTTTAAAATATCTCTCTCTTCTCTCTCTTCTCTCTCTCTATCTCTCTCTCTCTCTCTCTCTCTCTCTCTCTCTCTCTCTCTCCTTGTATATATGTGTGTAGGCCCATAGGCATACATGTACTCACACATGTGGGGGCCGGAGTTGTTATCAGGTACCTTCCTTACTTGCTCTCCACTTTATTTTTTAAAATAACATCTCTCTCTTGAGCTCACCAGTTTGGCTAGACTGGCTGGCCAGGAGCCCCTGGGACACTTCTTGTCCTCCCCCTCCTTCCTGGGCTTGCAGGTGTACCCTGGGGCTTAGGTGCTGGGGATCTGAACTCAGGTCTTCACGCTCCACTTAATCACCACCTCAGCCATTCCCCTGCCTCTGTCTTCATGCCATGTCCTTTGAGTCTGTGCTTTCTAGAATCGAACTGTTCTGATTTGTTTCTCATTGTCCCCTCTTTTCTCTCCCTGAAAAAGAGTGATTCTTTAGGATTTTATCTTCAGAGCTATACATTTCTCTCTTTACATTTGTCCGGGTTATGAATACTAAATCTATTTTGGGGGTCCATATTAACTCCTATGTTTCAAATATCTCTCTTTCTCCTCTCTCTCTCCCTCCCTCCCTACCTCTGTCTCTCTTTCCCTCATTTTTTCTCTCTGGATTAAACTCTAGCCTCACTTAGGTTTCACAAGGAATTTAACACAGAGCTGCCCTTCCTTCCCCAAACATGCTTTTCAATCATCCCAATGAACATTTTAAATTATATTCTCCATGGTTACTTCAGTATGCCTAAAAAGAAACACATATTCGGCCAACTTTTAAAAATCTCCTATTCCATGTCAGAGGATATTCTAAGAATGAAAAATACCATAACAAACAATAAGGCTGGCTGATGGAATGCTTATCACCCATTAAGGTTAGGTAGACCCATATACAAATGAGTGTGATAAAGCCTTCCACTCATTTCCAGAGTTATGTTACAAGCTTGCATTAATTCTAGTACCCGTGCTGATCTGCTTAACCTAATTGCTCTCTCTTCTAGATTAATCTTCTTAAAGCTCATTGAGTGTCTGTTTTCTACCTGCAGCCTTTAATGTGTCTCTAATAGAGGACTCAGTACAAATTCTTCATCTTCCCCTTCAGCACCCTTTCTACTTTGGCTGTTTCCTCTACATTATCACCAAGGCTAACCCTGTCCACCCACAGCCTCCGTGTCTCTGACGGTCACTAACTTTTTGGACGTTGTAAAACACCTGTCCATAGAATACTAGTCTTTTTTGACTTGCTGGTGTTTTGAAATTAGGCTAAGCTTTGGCACCAAAAAGGTGTTAATGACTCAAAGCAAATAAATAGAATGTTATTAGTCACATTAATGGTCCAAAGTGTGTGTTCTGGGTTGGAGGTGGGTTTATCCCACATCGTGTTTCATAATCCAGTTTTCATTTTCCTTATGAGTCTGTCATCCTCTGAGACTCTGATGTCATCTGTACCTGCTAGTAAGATAAGAAGAGAAGGAAAAGTCGGCCCTTCCTTTGTTTTTAGGGTCCAGGCCTAGAAGAGGAACATTTCACTTTGGCTCACATCTGGTCGCAAGACCTTTTCCATGTTGCATGTCCAGCTGCAAAGGTGGCTCAGAAAGATAGCTAGACTGTGAGCACAGACTGAAGAGAAACTGGGCCTCTGCGTACCTAGCAGCCTCCCCAGTACACAGCATTACACAGAACTCACTTATTCACCAGTGTCAGAGAGCAGATACTGCTACCTCTGAAAATCATTTTATGATCATTCCAAATTAGAGTGAGACTGTCCTTTGCCAAAGTCATAGTACTTATTGTCTTTATTATTTGTCACTTGCTATTGTATAAATGTATTTTTCTTTTTGGTTATTCATGTCTTTACCAATAGAAGTGAAGGTCCTAGAAGATAGGAAGTATGGCATATAAGTTGGGGTGATTCATTTATTAATTCAATATGTATTTGTTAAATGACTGTATCTAGATGACAGTGTTTCGTATGATGGTGAATATAAAAAATAATAACTTGCCACTGGATCTGTGTTGATATTTTGGAATTTGATCAAGAAAGACACTGCCGTAAGCAACTCCTCTGAGCCCTTTAAAGAAAATGGAAAAATGTATTGAAATGACCAGCTATGCCATGAGATATAATACTACTGAAAGCATAATATTATGTAAATGAATGAAATTCTCAAAAATTGTTCTTTACTTCCTTCCCATATTGATGGGCCATGGCTTATCAATCAGAGGTTTCCCTACTGTTATGAACAAATTTAAACAAGCTGCTGTCATTAATAGAAGTAGTCTACATCTGTTACCTCAGCAATGGAGTTATTTCAAATTAAAACTCTTTGAAATCAGTGACATTCTGCATATTAAAAGCTTGCTATTGCTGCATAATCTCATGAACAGTGCATACCTACTCAGCACTGGCATTCTGAGAAGAAAAATTGAAGGAAAAGAAGAAAATGGATTTAAACTGCTGTAGGAAGAATTTGGGTCAAACATATGAGAGACCTTATTAAACATGAATTAATTTTGAAATAGCTTATTTGTTTTTTAGTCCCTAGAGAATATTAGATACGTTGCAATAAGTGAAGATACTAGAAATCCAAGTGAAACAATAAACCAAGGAAAGGTCCTTCCCATCTTCCACAGCCCAGGGCCCTAAGACTTGGGCTGCTTTCAGTTTCCCATCTGAAAAGGCCCAGGAAGGAGCCTAAACAATGGAAGTAAAAGCAGCTCGCTCTTTCTTTCTTTTCTTTCTTTTCCCCTCTGACTACTCCAAGATCTGTTTTTGCCACAACTTCATAAGTATTTCAATTACTTGTTCCCTGAACAGTCCTGCAGAGAAGCTCTGCCCCCAGCCCCCTTTTATAGATGAAGATATTGAGGTTAAGTGATTTTCTCAGGGTTACAAAGAGACCTTGCAGCAATGAGGGAATGAGAACTAGCAGTTCACCCTTCTGGTGGATGAATAGATTGCGTTTCAGAGCAGCTTGGCTATTATATTGCAAAGGAGCCACTCAAATGCCTGGCTGAATGTGTGAGTCCTGGAAATGAAAGGGAGGCTGCTCGGAGAGCGGTTTTCTTCTTATTAATGACATAGGCAATTGTCTAAAGTTAGACATAGAGGCCCTGTAGAGAAAGGGTCTTTTTAAAAAAAGTACAAACAGCAGGACACTCAATTTGGGACCTTCTCTCAATGAGACTGTTGTCTGTCTACTTACAGACAGTGCTGCTGAGGAAACTGGGCTCCAGATTGGAGACGTGGTGCTTTCTGTCAATGGCACTGAGGTCACCAGTGTTGAGCACACAGAAGCTGTGCACCTTGCAAGAAAAGGTAGGTGGGCCAGTTACAGACGCCAGAGTTTATCTGAAGGAGCAGAGTACTCACTACACAGAAAGTTCACATGTGAAAATCAGCAGTTATAGAAGGGGTTCAAATGCATTTTCTCCCCAGGGATACCTTTAACTAATATGCTGTGATCAACATGACTTTTTTCTTAATAATTAAATCACACCTCTGAAACATATTATTTTGTATTATTGATCATCAGCCACAAAAGTGAAACTAGATCATGGCAGTCAACAAAATATACTCTACTTATTACCAAAATATTTCTTTTTTAAACTGGAACTGGAGTTACAGACAGTTGTTAGCTGCCATATGGGTGCTGGGAATTGAACCTGGGTCCTTTGCAAGAGTAAGCAACCTGTGCACTTATCTGCTGAGTTATCTCTCCAGTCCCCATAATACATCTTTAAACTAAAACAAAAATTAAAACCTCATCGGAATTTACTATTTCTTTTCCATTTTTCTTACATGTACTCCTTCCCTTCCTCTATTTTTTCATTCCTTTCTGGAGAGAAAGTTTGTAGACGGAAAAAAAATCTCAGGGTTTTAGTGAGAGAGGAGAGAGGAGAGAGAGGGAAGGAGGGAAAGAGGGAGGGAGGAAGGAAGGGAGAGTGACCACAGTCTAAAGCTTCTAGGGATGCTCCTGGGCCCTGCGTAATGTAATTATAACACAGGTGGAACCCCCGACAAGCGCAGCAATAATGCATAACCCAATACACTTGCATCTCTTCACATTAGACTTGTGGAGAGCTTAATGCAGCTTCTCTCTCTGCCAGACAACTTACTTTCCTTGGCACCATGTTATAATCCTTACCTCACAGAGTAACATACACAGCTGGGAAATGCTGTGTTCCATCCATTTGTTATGGTATTCCATTCCTGACTTCCTGAAGGTTACATGGATACTGCAGTACCTCTGTAGCATTAGACAATGGAATATTATTTAAAATGTGTGCATTAGGAAAAAGCCACAGGTGTCAATGTAGTATCACTTGCCATTTTTCATGCTTTGGGGTTGCAATAACCGAGCTCTGTAGTGTAGACTGGCATATGAAAATCATCTACAAATGTATTCTAATTGGTTACTGTGAATTATTTGAGGTGGTGTGGCTTAGTATTTTGCTGCTCTTTTCAGATTTGTTCTAGTATGCCAGGAACCCAAGAACACTATCAGCATGTCTATTAGTGACTTTTCTGTTGTTGTGATAAAACATGATGACCAAGGCAACTTACAGAAGGACAAATTTATTTGAGCTTACAGTTCACAGGGTTAGAGTCCATAATGGCTGGGAAGACACTGTGGCAGATATGGCCAGAGCAGAAAGCTGAGTGATCATATCTTCAAGCACACACAGGAAGCAGAGAGAAACCGAAAATTCCCCAAGGCTTAAGAACTCTTAAAGCCCACCTCTAGTGACATGCTTCCTCAAGCAAGGCCAGGCCTCCTAAAACCTTCCAAAACAGCACCATCAACTGGGGACAAAATGCCCAAATGCTTGGAAACTTTGGGGGACATTCTCATTCAAACCACCACAGCATGTGTAACAACTGTTTTTAAAATTTTTATTTTATGTGTATGAGTGTATTGCCTGCATTTATGTAAGTGCACCCCTGTCCTGCAATGCCTGCAGAGGTCAGAAGAGGGCATCAGGTTCCCTGGAACTGGAGTTAGGGATGACTGTTAGCCACATATGGATGCTAGGAACCAAACCTGGGTACTTTGCAAGAGCAGTTAGTGCTCTTGACAACTGAGCCATCTCTCCAGCCCCATAACAGCTCTTAGAAGATATTGCTGAGCAATACAGAACTTATGATAAGAATAATGCTAATGAGTTGATAGTCTTCCATACAGTCAGAGAATTTCTACCTAATGCTTCTGGGCTTAGCTATCCTCAGAGTTAATTCTTTTTCATTTAGAATTTTTTGAGTTAAATGAATCTTTACTAATATTTTATTCCTAGTGTTTTTATTTTCTTGAGGGGCTTAGTGTTTCCTTTCATACTGAACCATTGTACCTGACTAAGTTGAAGGGAGAGAATCTCTGAAACAAATGAAGGGGAGAAGATGGTGAAATGGCATTGATAGTAGGAGAAAGTTGCCTCATTGCCATAGCTTGAGCCACTCCTGGGAGCTATTTGGTAGAGTGGGTTACTTGCTGTTATAATCTGGACTCAATCTTAACATCTCTCTCCAAAAGACTATAGCCCTGTGTCTTTGCCACTCTTCAAATCCAACTTTGCAGATTTTAGAAGCAGAAAGTAGATTGTGGATCTGTGATATTAAAGAAGGTGCAGAAAGAAATGGGAAAGAAAAAAAGATGATTTCACTCTGTGTTTGTTACAAGGGTGGGAATTACAGTCAGTAGCAGAGGAGGGCTCAGCATCTCGTGTGAGAAATCGGCCGGGAGGCTGTTTATTATTGTTTTTTCACCCATGTGGTCCTGGTGAAAGCTAGAAAAATGGCAGTGCCTATCAGGGACAGTCGGTGAGATGAGTGCACCTGGATGAAGGCATTGATCATTCCACACTCAGGAATAACCTCCTGCACATATGTAGGAGTAATTGACAACAGCGCAGCTTTTAACTGAAAAATAGCAAAATCTCTGCTAGAATAATATGAAGACTCCCTGAGATTCAATGTATTCTGACATGGATGTGAGCAAGGAAAACATAGCTAGACCAAGGTAGAAGTCAAAAAGGTGTGCTGCCCTGAGGAGCACCCCCTCCCAATCAGGAGGGCCACCAGAGATGGCTGGGGCTTTAAATTTGCTCCCTGTACATATTTTCTGAAATATCATAAAATTCCAAAGCAATAGGTGTCTTGTTGCAAAAGTAATAAGGCATCTGAGAAACAATGCAATTAACGGACAAAGTGAGAAACAACCTATACTAAGCAGAGACAACGAATATTCTAAGAACGGACATTTAACTTGCAATCGGTAAATATCATTGAAGTAGCCAAGGAGCACATTTATAGGACTTTGGATATGAAACGGAAAAGCAGGTGTAAAGAAGAAGTAATTGTCAGTGCTAGGTATAAGACAGCAAATGTTGAAATGTGCAGCACGCAAACTGAATAGCAACGTAAATATGATGAAAAGGCTTAGATGATTCAAACTATTTGGTGTATCAAGAGAAAAACGAAGGCAGGGAGGGGGAGGGAGGGAGGAATTAAAAACTACTAATAAAGACAAAAGATAAAATGAGAACATAAGACTTTTAATCAATAGTGTCTAAAGGAAAGAAATTAAATACATGTAAAGATAAAAGTATATATGTGTATGTTTGTTTTTGAGGGGGTGCACATGAGTGTGTGGGTGAGTGTTCATGTGTGTATGTGTATGTAAAGGCCAGAGGACAACTTCAGGTGCTGTTCCTCAGTTCCCTCCACCATGTTTTTCAGACAGAGTCTCTCATTGGTCTGAAGCTCGTGGATTCAGTGAGGCTGGTCAGGGAGCCCCAGCTGTCCACATCTTACCGCCTGCCCAGTGCTGAGATTTATCTACATGACACACAGTAATTAAAAGTACCAGACTGGTGGAACTAACCTTCTTGGATGTTTAACAGACATACTTTGAGGCCTATAATAAGTTGGACATAAAGGACAATTTTTGTTCCTTGCCCTCCTAGGTCAACTAGTTCCAGGGGACTATGAGCATCTCTCAAAATTTCCTGTAATTGTGGTGGGTCACCTGTCCTCTTAATCAAGGAGGCTGAGGAGACCCCACCAGATGGACTTGGAGCAGTTTCCAGTCTACAAAGAGGAGGGTCAACACAGAGGGAACATTTCGTCCATGCATCTAAGCAAAGCCAACCATAGTCAAGCAGGACCTTTGATTTATCTTCACGTAGGTGGAACTGGTAAAAGAAAGGAGCCAGGGGCTCCTCCCAAGCCCATGTGACCCCTAAGGAACAGATCCTCAAACGGCCTTAAGAGCAAAAATAAATTAGTTTATCTGGGCCAACTGTATGACCTTAAACACCCAAAAGGAAAATATAACCTAAGATTAAAGGGGCCAATATAATTTTTTAGGAGTCCATATGTATAGCTAAAGGCTACATAACAAGGAACAATGCCAGATAGGAGATACCTTCTTTTGAGTTGTTGGCCAAGTTGGCCAAAGAGACTCTAAGATAATAACCCAGTATAGAACTGGGAAAATGAACAGCAGACCCCAATCTTATCTAAAGGAATATTGGCAACAGCTTGCTGCTAGATGAGGAAGAGCTGATTTTCCTAAAACAAGGAACTATAAATAGGATGATCTGGGGGTGCTGACAACACAGCAGACAGTAGCAGGGATATCAGAGTATAAGGGCTCTAGTGGGTGGAGGGAGGCTATGGGAGGGTGTCATCTGAGAAATGGGTGTATAGTCGAATAAGATGGTTTGGGATGTTCTTTGTGATATATATACATACACACACACAAAATCAACAAATTTTTTAAAATGTATTATTTTTTAGGAGGAAGCATGGAAATTTGTGTCATGCTAATTAGTAGAGGTGATAAAGATTACCGTTGAAATCTACCCGATGACTTTATAGGCATACATAGGTGCCAAGGATCCAAGTGCAACCGATTATGACTAGTAATAATCAGATAGATACAGATTAGAGATGCATGCAGCAGCATCTCAGTGTTAGCAGCAAAAACAATGAGTCTGCAAGGAACAATATAATCTAAAATAAAATGGAGCTCTTTTTTAAAGGTTAAAAAACTTATTCAATTTTATGTCTTATGGGCTTATACTGAGTTCAATATTATATAACTG